ATTATTTTAAATATAAATAAAAAAATATTGCCGTAAACAGCTTATTTTGCGACACCACGAAACAAACGATAGCGTATAATATGACACGATAGATGTTTTCATATCGTCATCCGATATGTATATCATCATATTGAACAGCCCTAACTGTGGTGTTCTTTTTTTTATCGTCTTGCCCCGAACCTTTTAGAGAGCAGAAACTCACTTTGTCCTTCAATTTAAACAATTGGATATTGCCAAGTTTATTTTTTGCTGCTGGCTGCTGTGAAAGATATCTGGTGCTTGATCAGTAGTGACAGACAAACAAAATAAGTGTATGCAGACCTCTTTAAAAAAATTATCAAAGTTAGTTAAAAAAAAAAATACCATAACTGATAATCACTTACTGGTAATAGCTCAGGTCTCTGTTGGTTCGGGGCACATCTTTATCAATGATTCGAATGGCTTCCTGCAGCTCCTCACGGTCAAATGTGACCCGCTCAAACAATATCTGTTTATAGGAAAAGTTAGTACAAAGAGGTAGTAGGTAAATGGCAAACCCTTTAACAAATTTAGATCCTGTTGTTTCATTTGAATAAATATACTGCATTTATTTTATTTCCCTCACTTTAAACTGTTCTTATGTTCTACAAAGAAAAACCAAAGGGAACATTTTAAATATAACTTAACAAAAAACAATGCAGAACAATAGTGAGTAGAGACAAGTATGCGTAAAAGAAGCAAAAAGCCAGACATCAGACAGGTCACAATAATACTCACAGATGTTTAGTTGAACTGACCTGTGCCTGAAGCTCCAAAAAAGCCATTCTAACTCTGACCGCCTCTGACCTGTCCTGAGACTGTTGCTGGGTCTGTGCCTGTCTCTGGTCAAAGTACCTGACGGCTGCCAGCAACTCAGCTTGATCACATATAAGATATTTAGGGAAAAGAGTGAGAAATCACGGCAGTTAAAAACAAACAACAATAGAAAAAAAAATTGGAAAAAGAAGGAATCTACTGTACGTGGCTTTTAACTGACAGCCGTACAACTTACCATCAGTACCATTGAGGCGCATTCGCATGGCTGAGGGGAGGAAGTGCTGCCATTTTCTCTTCATCACCTGATAACGTACGGCCAACTGGTCCTGCAGCAACGAGCGCTCTAAAGCTGTTGAACCACACGGGTACATCCCGAACAAAAACCGCCACGCGAGACCACGCTCAGATGGACACACCCCACCTGGACAGAGAGTGCAGACCTTTCAATCATTGTCAGTGGACAATTGTGCTTGAAGATAAAACATTACGTGACCTCCTAACATTTAGTTAAACCAGTCACCACTGGTCTGAAAGAGAGCATGGGAAGATCAAACCTGAAAGGAACAAATTTTAGATGTAAATCAAAGCAACAAGACTGCAAATACATATTTTAGTGAGCTTGAGCCTGCTGAGACAAATATTTAAGAGGCCATTTGTAACGTCTTAGTCTCTGGTGGAGTTCAACATCCTCCACAAAGAGGACAGATTCAGCAGGATTGCTGAAGTGCTGATAAGTTCTGGCATGAGATGACAGTCTTCTTGCATTTAAGACACTAAAAATACAGCTAGAACACAGACGTATTCTGTCCGTTTTTGCTTCTTCTAGTTCACAGCATATGTTTATGGAGCCATTGACACTCATGTGATCTCACTCCTAGAAATCCTACCAACCCTATAAATGGAGCCGCTTTATCACAGTAGTCACGCTGGACTTCTTTGCTCCAGGCGGTCTGGTGAACAGTGAAATGTTGGACTTTACAGAAGCGTCTGGTTGTGCTTTTCCCCAGAGGCAAAGCGTCACCTGATTTAATCTTAAGAATGAAAACCCATTTAAAAAAAAAAAAATCATGTTAAATATTTTTACCGTACACCAAAACGGTGCTAAAATGGACACATGTATATTTTGTCAAAACACTAAAGCCCATTTTTATTTTTCCAAAGAGTCAAATTAAATTTCTCTAAAAACACACATTGAGCGAATGCAGTCACGCCTTTTATCAGCAGGTGCGGTGCATTCAGGTTTGTTCACAACAACCTGAGGCCTCAGCAACAGTCGGTGTGAGAAACTACAGCTTTAAATCCAGCTGCTTCATGGACTGCGCTGATTGCCAGCCCCTGTCCTGTTATAGTGTATCAATACAGAAAAACGCAATTATCTCTCAAACTTATAATGAACTAGATGAGAAAAGAGTTTGCTTTTCTAAACGTGGATAATTAGATATTTTAAGATTTCTGCTTGGCCTTCCGTACTCACTAAAGTATTAAAACGGAAGTGCGGACAAGCAGTCTTACTTCATGTCTCCTGCAAAACTGCACGAATCAAGTTTACATTAAAAACTACTTGCAAATAAGTTGTGCGTTTTAGAAACCGTTTTTGAAGATATGCATCCTCAGTCTTGACTCGTCGACCCTCCCCTCGGCGTCCATGACTCTGGGTAAAGTGAGGCGCGCTACAGCCAGAGCAGGAGAGCTGATCGCTGCTACTGTCCTCTGAGAGCCTCCATCCAGCTGGGGGCTGCTGGCTGTCAACCGTTCCCCTGCGGTCTGCCTTGGATTTCCTGTGTTTAGATCTTCCATGTGTGGCTGCGGTTTTAAATCACGCAAAGATGAAGTTTGTCATTCGCGCTGCATCCACATAACAGGCAACATAATCATCCTCCTATGGCCCACCGCTTCCTAAACAACACAGCTCGTCTCCCTCCGTGAGCTACAACTGAAAGCATTCAAGACTCATTTCCAGCAGCGTGGTCGAGTCGTTTTAACTTTGCTAAACCCGTCGGAATGACTTTCAGGAAAGCACATCCAGCGAGCACAACTCTCATTCAGCCATCTGAGAGTCATATGACTGCACCTTTAAGATCCCAGTTTGCCCCACATTCCAGGTGGAGTCAAAACCCATGTGCTAAAGTTCACAGTGGACTTGTGCGTATATCTTGCTCCATCTAGTGGTTGTATTTAGCAAATGTCCCCCAGAAGAGGGATTTCGCTAACTGGCTGATCTGAGTATTTCCCAAACCGTTGACCACTGGGGCTTTCACGCATAACCATCTCTAAGGTTTGCAGAGAATGGCCTGGGTAAAAAAAAAAGAAAGAAAATATCCAGTGAGTAGCAGTTCATATCAGCTATTTCTTTGAAGTGATAAGAAGGAACTCCAATAATCACTTTACAGCCAAGGGATACAGACGAGCATCTCTGGACACCCAAGCACATGAACTGCAGCAGCAGAAGACCAAATTTTTCATTACAATAGAAAACTCTAAAAATGTCTGGTCAGAATTTGGAGAAAACAACATAAAAGCATGAATCCATCGTGTCTTGTATAAGTAGTTCAGGCTGCTGCTAGTAGCAAAATGGCGGGGGAAATATTTTATAACATTAAAAAAAACAATTTATGATTATTTAGATTTGAAAGCTAACTTGAATATTGATGCAGACCATTTTATCCCCCTGTGACCACAGTGTATCCATCTTGACTGCTACCAGCAGGTTAGCATACCATGTCAAAGAGCTCTAATCATAACTGGTTTCTTAAACATAACGAGTTAATTCATATGAAGTCATTGTTATGTTTAATGACCCCTGCAGTCACCAGATCTCAATCTAATAGAGCACTTTTGGGAGGTGGTCGGCTGGGAGATTCTCATCATGGATGTCTAGCTGACAAATCTGCAGCAACTGCGTGATGCTGTCATGTCAACATGGACCAAAATCTCTGAGGAATGTTTCCAGCATCTTGCTGAATCTATACCATAAAGAATTAAAGCAGCTCTGGAGGCAAAAGGAGGTCCAACTCAGTATCAGCAAAGTGAACCTAATAAAGTGGCCAGTGAATGTTGCTACCACATATATTTTGTGCATAATCAGCCACTCCACACACCAAATAGTACCCAGCTTATGGTAAGAAAGCTGCCACTCTCTCCAAAAGTTGATTCTTTTCCTCTGGACGTAGCGTCTTCAGTGGGAGAAATGTTTCGTCACCCATGCAAGTGACTTCTTCAGTCTTAGCTGACTGCAGGTTTCCCCAATCTTATAAACAGTATATTTGCATAATGACTGAAACCAGCCCACTGAAGGAACAATGGGCTGGGGGATCAGTTCCTTCAACATAATTATGGAAATTCTAATGACCATTGATAAACAACCACTGATCAAAGACCACTGATTAATGGCCATGAGTACCTCGCTCAAACCAGCGTTCCACCCTGTCCAGGATGTTACATCCTCATCACTGAAACAGTGTCCACTGGCCTGTAGGTGTAAATAGACTGTAGAGTCCTGGCCTGACGAGGCCTCTGCAGTCTACTACCACTCATTCACAAGGGGTCACCAGAGTAGGTGGGTCCATATATTTGATTTGACCTCTACGCTGTGCAATTTTTGACATCAATATAAATATTTGTCTAGCTATAATTACTTCTTGTTACCAAAAATATCACATTACAAATTCACGGAATCTCTTCTGTGTGATAAGGAAAAACACAAACCAGGTCTAATCCAACTTGCAACTCAGTCTTTTTTTTTTTCCAATAACATAATATCATCTATCCTTTGTTCACGTGCCATATAGTCAGGTGTAAAGCTCAATCCTCCTCAATTAATAGAAATTATAGTCTGGTTTAATATTTTTGACAGAGTGGAAGGTCAACTGTAAATGCACTAGACTACACTGTTGGGTTAGAAGTGACAGTTTTGCAAACACCTCTCTGCTGTTGTGACACTGACCTGCTATGTTTTTCACAAATGTTAATCAGAGAGAAAAAAAAGGGAGGAGTTCAGCAAAGTGCGACTTTTACACTTTGGTTAATATGAAAAAATTTAATGATATAAGAGAAGGAAGAGAGTGTTTCTGATATACAGTATATGTGCTTAAAATTTGAAAGTTGAACATAGTTATTGTGGGGACGGCGTTCACTTTTCTTTCCCAACTTCCTTTTTTTTTTTTTTTTTTTTCAAGTGATCATTAGAGTGCAACGGGAAACAGACCCATGTCATTTCACATCAGTGCAGAGATCTAATACATACTGAGAAAGCACAAAGGAACATCATTTTCTTACACCTCCCTCCTCTCATAGTGAGTATTTACTATGTGCTAAATAGTAGACTATAGGCAATTTGCTGTACAGTATGTTGGCTACATGTGATGGGAATTCTGTAAAACTAAATCGGGATTTTGTCTACTAACCTGTGACTGTCTTGCTTTGGCTAGATGCAGCTGCCAGGCCTTATTGGTTTCATTTCAGTATTGATTCTGGCTTGTAATTCAAAAGGTGAGTGAGATAATAAGCTCATGTGTATGATTTAAATTGGAAATGCACTTTCAGTATGTAGTAAATATGGTACTTGGAGCACTTTATATGCTTCTCATTCACCCATTTACACAGATTCATACACTAATGATGGTGAAGCTGTCATATAATGTGCTTTTCTAATGCTGGCCTTGCTTTTGTAATAAACAATTTGTTCTACAATGTAAATTATAGCTTTAAAATTAGCCTTTGAAAAATAAATGCAATTCCTGACTTGCTTTGTTTTTATTTGCAGATACAAAATGGAAAATAAATGTCGAAAGAAAGATCACAGCACAACCTGGATCAACCGTTACCATACAATGCAACTTTAGCTATCCAAAGGAAATCTCCACTAATAATGTTACAGTTTTTTGGAAAACGTCATCAGTAGATGACCAAAGTAACTGCAGTAACGGGGACAAAGACAGGAAGGCATTTGTTTTTAACCCAAATAATCACTGTGTGCTTGAGAAGTACCGAGGAAAGACTAAGCTCATTGGAGACCCGAACAAGGGCAACTGTTCTCTCCAGATCACCGACATCACAGATATTGAGCAAGCGATCTATGTAAGAATTGATGTGCAGAAAGATAAATACAGTTTCATCAAGGACCTTGTCCGTGTCTCATTTTCCATAAATGGTCAGAATTTAAATCAATTATTTTAAATTTTTAATTTAAACTATGCATTTATCAAAAAAAAATGAAATTAATACCTTGCTTGTTTCCTCCACAGAGACGGGGGCTTCTAAGCCAGGTATTAACTTCATTTCTGCATTATTTATATTTAAATTGAACAGAGCCTTTTAAAAAAATTTGCCATCATGCTGTGTAATATTTTTTCAACAGGTACCGATTCCTATACGACTCAAGACCTTTTAACCACTGAAACAACAATAAGTAAGTTTAATATTCACACAGTTTGTTGAGTATGTCACCCTCTGTACTTCAGCTTTCTTTACTGAACGTATTATTTTTTGCAGCAAAAGCAAATGAAAACGACACGAGCCATGCAACAATACTGTCTGTAGCCATCCCTGCAGCAGTTCTTGTGGTGATCATTCTTCTTGTTGCTGGGATATTTATTTTTATAAAATACAAGAGGTAACTTTTCCATCATTTGTAAACCGAATGTGTGGCCTACAAGCAGCAAACTTGAATGAGCTTTATTTCCCAGATTGATATACTTGATGTACATAGTTTATCATCTGGATACTTTTCAGGCAAATGTGTGGTATGTAAAGCAAAGCATTTATGTAATCAAAAGACATTTAACTGTGGAAATTTAACTTTCTGTGAAGCATATGTACAGTACGAGAGAGAAATAATCCAAAGCAGATTATATTCATTTATCATAAACATACCAGAGTGCTTCGAATGTTAACCTTGTTTAAATTTTAGTTATCATGTACAAACAACCGCAATAACAGTAATCATAATTGTCCCAGGTCACGCAGTCTCACCAGGGAGGACTCTGGATACTATGCAAACTTTAGCAGAGCACTATCAAACCCACCCAAAAGGTTTGCATTAATGGAAAAAGTATACCATACATGTGTACCCATCTAAGAAGCTTGACATTTCTTTTATTTTTAATTGAATGTGTCATTGTGACGAATCCAAAAGTAATTATTGTAATTTGGTGTTGTACCATTTGATACATTTGTGTCATCAGGATATAATTATGCATTTATTTGTTGCACAGTGACAAAATTCTGATGACCTTTTCCCCAACCTGGCATTTTTAATTTCTTGCTCTCTTTCTTTTTTTGTTCTTTTTAGAGAAGTCAGTTGTGACAGACAAACTAAGAAGCTGCCTGAAGGGAAAGCTATTGATGATCCTGTTTACATCAATGTCAAGGTACAATGCCCACACTGACACAAGTTTTACTGTCCCAAGAAGTTAACAGCAAAGATAAAAATGACTAAAGCCAACTTTTATGTAACCTCTTGTCTCTGCAGGCTCCAACAAATCACTTGGCTCCAAACAGCAGTTGTGCAGACAATATATATGCAAATGTGGATTACAGAACTTAGAAGGACAGCTGCATGTCATTAGTGTACGATGCTTTCTACACATGTTCATGTGTTTGCATTACTATGTGCCTCTATACATTTCATGCAGGTCTTAATATTTTTTGTCTTTTTTGAGAGTGTTCACATATGCCCAAAAAACCCCTGACTAGTCGCTGTGGGTTCAACTGAAGGATGAAAGTGTGAAAACACTCTAAATGACCAAAAAAAAAAAAAAAAAGCCTGCACAGCATTGCAAAACAATGATAATTCCTTTTTTGCGTACTTGTGATTGCAGACCTTCAGATGGTCAGACAAGAATGTTGTTTCAAAACATGAATTTATGTAAAAATGATATAGCATAAAATCATAAGTGAGATGTCAATGTTAGAGATGGGGAACAGTAGACACACAGTAACAATAATCTTTCTCCAACCCTAACAACATTACCTTTGTCAGAAAAAGTCTTCTCCTAGCCTTACTTGTGGCATATTGTGTAATTGGAGAATGAAAACCTGTTAGGATTGAAAATTAGGAAGGATTTCATTTTTTTGTCAAATGCTTTGGGTTTTTTTCTTTTTAAGAAATCTGCCATTGCAATGTTCTTGCCCAGTTTGCCTAATACAGGCAATATATGCTGGTGAGCATAACAATACTGTAACCAATACTGATGACAGTAACTTTGCCAAATAGTCTGTAGCAATAAATAAAAACAGCAACTTTATTAATATACTTGATCTTATGCAGTTTTTTTTTTTTTTTTTGCTTTACATCAGTGTCTTTGACCTTGGTAAATAAACCTGCCAGTGTTACACCACCAAGTAACTAAGGAAATGAAATCAAGCAGCATCAGTTTTGCAACTTTGCGGCAATATCGCTTGAGTGGAGTTCTCTTTTCGTTGGAACTTTGGAACCCATTTTAACTAAACTAGTTAAAATACAGAAGTGAGGGGTGAAAATTACATTCACTTTGGGTACATCCTGTGTCATGTCTGCTGAAACTTATTTAAAGGGTTGAAAAAGATGGATGCACTGCAGTTTTAAAGAGAATTAGCGAAAATGTGTAGAGGCTATTTGTAATTTAAACTGAGTGAAACTGTAACTGCTGCTAATACCTTTTGCTTTCTGTTTTAACTTTGATGGGCAATGCTTACTGAGAGGCAGAAGTCCTGGAACGTTGCATTACTTAAGAAGTGTAGTGAAAACTCTGTTATCTACATGCACTGACTATTCAGATAAATTGAAGAATATACAGTCATGACGGAGTGTACATTATTTTAGTATCACTGAAAGTATTGGCTGCATACATTTAATTGCATTTAGCAGCGAAATGTAATGTTTGGATGTTCTTGGACTCAAAACCAAGTTCAAGACAAACAACACGTGTCCTTGTATCCACTTTTAGCCAGTTCAAAGGGCATTAAAAATGAAGCACTGATTGATGTTCGAATAATTCAAGGTAATCTTGCCACAAGCAGAAGTAAGATCTCATCATTGAAACAAACCCATTCAAGTCCATTCACTGATATTTTCATGTAAACCGACATTGAAAGTAAATACAAGGAGCCTGACAAGATTGTGCTGACGACTCAATGTTCTCGACCTTGGCTGTATCAGTGCCCTGATTACTGGCACTGGCTCATCATCATAGATGGGATTAAGATAAGATAAGACAAGATAAAATAGAACTTTATTAATCCCTCAGGTGGGTTCCTCTGGGAAATTCGATTTCCAAAAAGCACAGCACCGACAAAAGTTACAGTTACAGAATATTATATATATATATATATATATATATATATATATACATACATACACACACACACACACACACACACACATATAAATACAGAGACAAATATAAATAAAATATACAAAGGGGATAAATAGAATAAATAGGAATAAAAATAAAAATACAAGTGAATTGCACATTTCAAGTATTGAGGTCTATTGCACCATTGACTATTTACAAAAAGTATTGCACAGGCTGTTTTCATGCACTAAACTAAAGAAATGTACAGGTCAATATTATCTTCAAATGTAGAAAAGTTAGTTACATTCATTATTTACACATTTACTTTATAAACACTAACAAGAAAACTGTGTCCAGAGATAGAGAAACATACTTAATTGGCCATCAATGAAAAATACTTACAATAAAGAATATTCTACATCTTCTATGAGAGGGTTATATTATGTAGAATGTTGACTTAAAAATGTAACACAATGCATACAACAAAGGAAGCTAGGACAAGAAACACTTACTTCCTCTGATTTAAATGTGGTAAATGTATCTTTTCTAGTACCACATTTAGATGTGGTAACATTATAAATGAACAGTTCATTACATCATTATGCAGCTTTTAGTTTTAAAAAGGCCTGCAGTAACATCACATGAGAGCCTTTTTTTAAACAACACATCTTTGTATACACATCTTTGTAATTTGTCACATGGTATTTTTCATGAAACTGTAGCTTTTGTGTACTCCTGGGTCTCAGTGTTCTCTGAAATGTTCATTTGCTTGCAAAAAGACTAACCAAAATGTAACAAGTTAAATGCCAGACTGCTGGCTACATTTCACAACTTTCTTGGTATCAAAAGCATCTGCTGGTGAACACATGGTATGAGCAATCAAAAAACAAAATTGGTAACACAGTTTTTGAGCGTAAAAATAGACTATAAATATGGCATCCAAATCTCACACGACTCCAAATCTCACAAGGACTACAAGTTCAGTCAGTGATTAAAACAGATTCAGAGGTGAGTGAATAACTGAAATATTTGCAAAAAGTACAGCAGTGGAAATCTGCCTTTAATACACCTATGTGTATTTTTTTTTTTTATCACTCCTTTATGCTTTTTAACTATTTTATTTTCAGGTCCTCATCAGTGATGGAACTAAAGTTGTGCTTTTCATTTCTGATGTTTTTTGGTGAGTGTCTAACTTTAATTCGGTGGAACCACACACTACCTTCTACATAACACAACATAATAGTATAATTCAATGCTATCTTTTTTATTAGTGATTCATGATGTCCAGTCAGCCAAAAGCCAAAAGTGTGGTTATTCCCTGCACCTATAATTACCCCAGACCTAGCTCCAAAAAGATCATAAACAGCTGGTTAGGATTCTGCAAGAAAGGGAACAAGGTTGTGGCAACCTCTATCCAAAAACGGAAACTGCCTGTGGAGTACAAAAAACGAACTCAATTTCTGGGAAAACTGAGAACACGGAACTGCACGATGCTACTGGATAGTGTCCGGAGCACTGATGTTGGACCTTTTTACTTCAGGATTGAAATGCCACAATACAAAAGCTTTTCCTACACACAAAACGCTGTATCCATTGATGTTATACGTAAGTAAGTTATCGATTTATAAAGAAAATGCAAATTTTAAAATGATTTTTTTATAATAGTGGTGTCATATTACAACTCTGCAGGCAACCCCCCACCGCCAACTCTGTCTGTGGAGGTGAATAATCAGGCATATGCTACCTGCTCTGTTTTTCACTCCTGCCCATCTATTCCTCCTCAATTCTCCTGGAGTCACACTGGAGTCATCAAAAGCCAGTGGAAGAAGGTGAATGCATGGAACTGGCAAACAGTGTCAACTCTGACCTTTCTGCCTTTAGCCACCGATTTCAACAAGCCTTTAAACTGCACAGTGCGACACAGAGGGGGGGAGGAGGCACAAAGCTCCATTATTCTTCTAATATGAGCCCAGTGCATGATCGAAGTATAACTTCTTACTCTACACAATAAATTAATTCAAGGTTTTAATTTAGCATTTGAGGTATATAGCGTCTTTAAACTACTTAAAGTGAATCTTAAAACAGATAGCTTTGCTATTTGTGAAGCCCGAAGGGGTTTTGTGATTGTTTGGTTTAAGTGGATGTCAAAGAGTGTGTCTGCACTAAAAACACATGTTTTAGTGTTATCTATGGTGAATGATAAGTGATCAACAGCTTCTCCTTCTTAAAGTTGTATTTCTCCAAATGTTTACGTTAAAATACAGTTAAAAAAATTGATACATATATATTCTTAAATAATATTCTTAGAAAGAGGTGTTGTTATGTGACAATGTGAAAATAATAAGGTAGTTATGAAACATATTTTGCAATTCAGAAACTTTTGTCCACAAGAGTACTGTCAGGGACTAGAAAGAGAGCATATTTTGCCATAATCTGTAAAGATCTGTATAGAAATACAAAATGTATTAATTTTTTTCATGTATGATTTAAAGTAAATCAAATGAAAGCAAAATGGCATCAGTATGAATGCCTTGGATCAGACAGTCACGGTCCTGGGTCGGTGACCAAGTGTTTTATGTATTGTTATTTTATGATTTAGTGTTTAATGTTGTTTTTGTTCTGTGCCAGTTTGTTTCCTGCTTTACTTTGACAGTCTGTGCCCTACATTAGCGTTTCTAGTTTGGTGTCTCCCTGTCCTGTTGATGTCAGCTGCGTCTTCCAGGTGTTTTCCCTTTGCCCTGCTTTCCTCTTGTATTCAATGTCTGTGTCTGCTCCTGCTTGTCGTCACATCGTATCCTCATTCTGACCAGTTTAGTTCAGTTTCATGCCCTCATCGTTCTGTTCCATTTCCTAATTTAAGCCTGCAATAAAGCAGTCGGTTTTTTAGCTTAAATTCCACCTCCACGAGTCTGCATTTTGGGTCCTTTTTCCTGCCTGCCCGCAAACAGCCATGACACAGACCTGTTTCATCCATCCATCCATCCATCCATCCATTCGCTTTCACTAAACCTAAAATAGTCAGAAATGCCAAACACAGTTGTTGAGGTCTCCCAGCACCTTTCTCAGATTTCGAAACTGTCCCAGAGTTTTAGATGACTTGATTATGGACATTTATTACAAATCCATCTGAGTTTTCTGACCTTCCCCTCTGGTTCTGGGTAGTTATTAGGGGTGCAATGATACTCGTATCGATATTGAACCGTTCGATACAGTGCTTTCGGTTCGGTACGCATATGTATCGAACAATACAAAATCTTTAATTTATTTTATCAACTTTTCTTCTGACGATGCTGTCTGTGTTGAGCGCTCAGTGGATCTGCGCTCGACAGTGCAGCCTAGGCGGTGTAGTCGAACGCAGATTCACTGAGCGCAGGGCAAGCTAGCCAGACAGAAGTTAAGCTCTCGTTGCAACATGGCAAATTGAACCTCCCCCACCCTAATTCAGATCTGGTGTTTGGAACTATTTTGGTTTTCATGTGAAGCATGACCCTGAAGGTAAGGACTAAAGCAAAATAGTATGTTGGATGTGCCACGCAATGCTCAATTACATGGTGGGAACTACTGCGTTAGCGCAGTTAGCTCGTTAACGTGTTGGCCGTCCAGCCCCATGCACGGGGCGATCCGCGGTAGCTCGTTAACAGAGATTTGCAGTGTTGTGGGGTTAACGTCATTTCAACGAGATTAACGATGACAGCACTAGTGGGAACACAATGAATATGACTGCACATTTACTCCGACATCATCCTAGTGCAAAGACAAGTGGAAGCAGACAAAAACAACAAGCACGCATGCTACAAACTTTACCCGAGTCATTTAGACAGCCGTTAGCACATGATTCTCCTTATGGGGACCTGATATGTTTAATATGCTGCTGAGAATATAGCCCAGAAGAAGCGTATAGTATAGCTTTTATTTTGGAAAGAGCCATTTCTCTGTAATAAACTCTCTTTTCCAAAGATGAGTGATTTCGTGATCTGATATTTATTTTTTTATTACTTTGTTATTTCAGCAACATTAAATTTAAAAACTGTACTTTTGAGTTAAAATATATATTTATAATTTTAATAAATGACAAATTAAAAAGGCATGAACAGTTTTTGTTGCATCGAAAAAATATTGAACCGTGACACCAAAGTATCGAACCGAACTGAACCGTGAATTTTGTGTATCGTTGCACCCCTAGTAGTTATATGAGCAGAGGATCACAACTAATCAACCCAGGAGACCTTTCACTGAGAATGGCACATCAACTGTCTAAGATGAGCTTTCTGTTTGGGGATCTGTGATAAAAGTGCACAATGAAATATGATAAAGTGAAGCACAGAAATAAAACAGCCAATAAGACAAGAAGAGCCTAAATGAATGGCAAAATACAGAAAAGCTTAACTAATACTGAAAATATTCTGGACAAGAACTATGAACAGGACAAAAACCTGAAGAGCAAAGATCATTGCAATACCATCTTAACAAACATGGTGTGGCTGCTTTTATTTCCTTTAGATAAGAGGTGACTGTAGCTGTCCACTTGGAATTACCACTCGTGACGCAGAGAGCTATGACTGATGCAACTTTATTCTCTCCTCTTTAAACCACCGACAATATGGCACCGTGAAAACTATAAAGATGCACAAACAAATACCATTAAACATTTAAGTACAAAGTGCAGAAATGTTCACATTTTACTATATAGAAAATTATTTTGATGAACTCAAATCGTGACATTGACATAAATCAATCGCTTTTAAACAATTTATGTTACAGCATTTAATAAAATGAATTAACGATAACCTTTCTGTCTCTTAAATACATAAACAATCATTTGCAATTATTAAACCAACCTCTTTCTGCTTCCAAGGGTGCTAATCATGCTGAACCAGCTAGCAACCTCCTCCATGCGCATCTCTTAGCCAGTCTTTCCACACCACAAACAAATGAGATGCATATACACAAAAAACGAATTCAACCACATTGTGTAAACTTTCCAAAGTTATAGCATGTGACAGGTAAATAAAATACATGGTTTTGCATGAGTATTTTCAAAAAATAAATGCCTTACTCACTCTGAAGCAACGTGTTTGTGTCGTTTCACTGAGAACAGAACAGGAAGTCTGACACAATAAAAGAGGAAGTGCTAAGGTACTCTTCAAAATAAAAGCGCAAAGTAAAGTGGCTTTGCCGGCATTTTACAGTGACTTGTATGGTTTACCAGAGGTGGGACCAAGTCATTGTTTTGCAAGTCTCAAGTCTTTATCCTCAAGTCTCAAGTCAAGTCTCAAGTAATGTCAGGCAAGTCAGAGTCGAGTCTCAAGTCACTGGTGTAAAAGTCCGAGTCAAGTCACAAGTCTGAAACTTTGAATTTCAAGTCCTTTAGAGTCTTTAAAAAAAAAAAAAACAACGAAAAAATAATGTTGCAGTTATGCTAAATGTAAATGTTAGACCATGTAATTTTAAAATCTGTGTTTTTCTCAACACATGACAAAATAGTGAACTTAGAAAATATACACAAATTGTGAAATTGCACCTCTTTAAAATGCAGCTCAATTAAACCTAGCTCCAAGAATAGTTTTCACCGACAGTTCTGAGATAAGCTGCATGTCATTCTTGGATGCGGTTGTAGGACCGGCTTTAAAATCGCATGACAAAAATATCATACACATTAAAAAAAACTGTATCACCAACGTAGCCTGGAAAACATTTGCTAGTTAGATGAAGTCAGCTATCTCATCTTAGCATATTTATATGCATATTTATAATCATACGGTTCTTGGAGTGAGTGCATACACTCATGAAGTTTAGTAACTTCCGGTCACTGCAACAAGCCCAGGTACAGTTTACCGACGGATGGGTGCAGGACCTTGAAATGCACCGTGTAGAACGAAAGACCATCGTACGTATCATAAGTTTACCAGTCTCACAAATCGTCGTCATAAATACACATTCGTTAACCGTTTATTAATAGGACCTTTGAGCTCAACGGTAATTAATTAGTAGTGGAAATAATTTCTGGTAGCATCACAGAAATGTAGCAGTGACAATAATACTGTATGCTGTAATCGTACTGGGCAATTAGTGATACAAAAAACCTGTTTTATCCTGTGAATAAAAGTATATGTTTTTGTCAATGTACCATAATAACAGAGGCGAAACGCAATATTGTGTCAGGACAATTCACTATTTATGCACAATAAATAAAGGAGCATAGCGCGACAATTTCTGTTCAGCGCCAGACTTGCTTGTAACCTATATCACCAGTTATGTTATGAAAGTGACATATTAACTACTAAAAAACACTGACCTTCGTGTAAATGCTTGGAGCAGACTAACCTGTGAGCTGGAGGGTTCTGGGACGTTATATTTGGTCTTTGAATGGCTGCAATCCAGTCGCCTCTTTGTTACTTCGGAAACATGGCTCGAACAATTTCTCTTCAACGAGGTAATCCGATAACAACCGATCTCTTTACCCGTCGGCTTCCCATGGCTGTCATGCGACCGGCTATTGCAGTTAATAATACAACGGCTTCTTGTGTTTCTTTTTATCGCTGTATAACTGATTTTAATTGAAAGCCTGCGTGCGCTAGTACCGCTTGCCACGAGTTCCCAGAATCCTTTGCGGTTCTACCCGTGAATGACGTCACATTTTCAATCTCTATATAATATGCATGCTAAATTTTGTATTTGGGGTAAAATATCAAGTCTTTTCAAGTAAACCGGTTCAAGTCCAATTCAAGTCCCAAGTCATTGGTGTAAAAGTCCAAGTCAAGTCACAAGTCTTAGAACATTTTTTCAAGTCAAGTCTAAAGTCATAAAATTAATGACTCGAGTCTGACTCGAGTCCAAGTCATGTGACTCGAGTCCACACCTCTGTGGTTTACATTCTGCTTTTAATAGTCACTGCATCCACTTTATCACAAACAAAATCTATCTTTTGTCTCATATGCCACAGAGTGAAGATGAATTACATTATTTTCAGTATTTTTGAATTAGCAAATTAGTACTTAAATATTTTTCTGTGAGATCACTATTGAGGCTACTTTCAATTTTGGTGAAAAAATGTTTCGATTTTGTTCTTTATTTTTGCCCCCCAAAATATTGTGGTAATACATTTATCTCTCATGTTCTGCTCATTTGTTTGTTTGTTTCTGCTCAGCAGAAGTAGCTGTAGTGGTGATGTGTAAGAGACACACATTGGTGTGATACTGCCATGACTGGATTAACTATACTTGAACAAAGTCTACAGCTAAGAAAGTCAAAGATGTTCTATTTCTGCTTTTGTCTGAACTTTTTATTACCAAGATAGGCCTGAAGCAATTAAAATATTGTATCTTATAGAATTATTTCACTGGACATGCACAATGCCAAAAGAAAGACATTTTATCTTTGAGCTCATTTAAGAAAAAGGAAGAAAAAAAGGTGATCCAGCTTATCTGGTTTCAGTTCCTCCTCAGTGTTTATGCCGAGAGAATCTCTTTTCATATGAACTCTGTGTTATTCACACATGCCTCCCATCTATCTTCCTACACAAACCATTTCACATATGTGCCTCATATTGATGCACTCCTTGGCTAGTTTGCGAATTAAAGTGAGAAACTAGTGTTCAGGCTTAACTTCTATTGTTCTTGCAAGATTGTTCACTGTTCTTAGCCTTAGTCATATAATCCTGCATTAGCCACAACCTCCATTTAGCCATACCCTGACTGCCCTTTGCTGGAACTTATTTCCATTCTGACCTTTGGTTGCAAATTATATTGTGAGTATGTTTTAATATTGTTGATTGTATTATTATTTTTTGAATCACCTCCACTCTAATATAAGCAGCAGCATCACATTGTAACTGAAATGTTAATCAATGAAGATCTCATTAAACTGTAAATTTAAAAAAAGATTTATTTCTTTTTTGCCTTACAGCACCATCTTGTGACAATTATTAATATTCTCACTAAGTACTGAAGGAGTCATGGAGCGTCCAAAGTTTTCCCATTTTTGACACACAAAAGGTGAAATTTAGCACACAGTTCTAAAAAAAAGAGGCCTTTATGCGTCCTCAAACACAGTTTCAAAAGTGGAGGAGGAGATAGCAGCACAGAGGTTGTTACACAAGCAGAGAAGGGCAGGGTTATAGAAGGGCATCAGCCTCACAGTGGGACCGGTATCTGT